ATTTGTTAAAGAAAGCTTGGGCCAATACTCCCAACGCAGCATTCATCTTTTGAGCAAGCAAATTTATAAGCAGCTCGAAAACGTCATGTCTTAATTTGTCTTGAGCTTCTTGGATTGCAGATTTGCAAATATGTCTTGTGTTTCATGGCTCACAAATTTGAGTAGAGAAGAGAGGGCATTAAAATTCTAATTAGTCTTGTGTTTCTTGGCCGGAGCCTCATCCAGGCCCGAGCAGGCCAGCAGGTTGTAGTAGTAGGTGAGGCCCAACAGACAGAAGCCCCACACCACAGTAATGTGCTCCGCGTGGTTCTCATGGGGCGTTCCGCACACGCTGTACCAGTGGTGCACGCCAGGGGGCGCTGCTCCACCGGGAACACAGTGGAAATCCATGTAGCCTTCGTCATAGTCGCTCGGGCACAGGTACTTCCTCTTCGATACAAGCTATAAATGTGGGGAAATACTTAACATATATTAACCAACTTTGATTGTGAAAATCCATGTAGCCCTATTTCATTATATTCTGTTGATATATTTTGTATTACATTGTATCTTGATGGACTTCAGAAAGACTAGTGATTGTCTTCACTAATGGAGATATATACCTGTAAAAGTTGGGAAAATGTTTACAGTGTATAATAACAACAGTATCAAGCACGATATCAGGGTTTCGGACTTCTGGGAAGTGTTTTGGGGTATTGTGAATATATATATATTCAGATTCGAATCAGCTATGACCTTACAAACTGCTTCCTGAACCAGACCAACCAAAGCCATATCGGAAGGTTTCAACGTTTTAAAAGACTCTAATCTGAGGATTAAAGAGGTTGAATGGATGGGGTGGTGTTGGCAACAGACTAGCCTGGTATCCAGTCTTACGTGATTGGGGATATTGGGGTGTTCAGGCAGGTTGTGTCTTTGGGGGCTCTAATAGCTTCCCCCGCCCAGTGCAACAGGCCGTCCCGGTAGGAGTGTTACGCTAATAAGAGACAGTATGCTTGGGGATTTGGTTTCCCCCCAACACGAACGAGGGCTAATCAATCTCTTGTGAAATACACACCGGGTAACCTATGTGAGGCGGGCGGGACAGAGCTCTTTCGGCCCCGACCACGAATCAGACTGGATACCAGGCTAACTAACTACATACCTGTCCGATGGCGTTGTACATCTGCATTGTCTCATTGCAGGGTCCGAGGGGTTCGTGGACCCCGGTAGACACAACCGTCTCAGGTTGGGCAAAAACGGCAAGCAGGGCAAAGGTCAGGAAGTGGATCAGAACCACCACGGTCAGCTCGTCCTTCCAGGGGTGGCTACCTGTGAAATATAGACTAAACTAAAAATAAATGTTTAGATTAACAGGAGAACATTTCCAACAGGTTTCCTTTAGTATTAAGTAATTTCAGAAAAATGCCAGAAGAAATGACGAGAATGTAGACAGAAAACAACAACTAGAAACCTCATAGAAGCTAGAGTGTGTGAGTGTGTGTGTATGTGTTTGTGTGTGTGTGTCTGTGTGTGTGTGTTAGTGTGTGTGTGTGTGTGTGTTTGTGTGTGTGTCCTCACCTGTCCCCCTGGGCCTGCCGTCCTGCGGCCCGTTCCTGTCCGACACCCACACGATGAGGATGTACAGGTAGGGTTAGAGTAAGTGTTTGTTTGTTTGTTTGTTTGTGTGTCCTCACCTTTCCCCCCAGGCCTGCCGTCCTCCGGCCCGTTCCTGTCTGACACCCACACGATGAGGATGTAGAGGTAGATGACGGCGAGCACGCAGACCTCGGAGCTGGCGCCCAGCGCGTCGTGCAGGCTGTGGTACAGCGGGATGAAGTGCGTCGCGATGGCCGTGGGGAACGTCAGGACGGCCGTCAGAAGGACGGCAGCGGCCTCCTGAAGGAAACTGGTAAAATAACACAGACACAGTTTAGAGTAAGTGTGTTTGTTTGTTTGTTTGTTTGACCCTTAATAATAGTCTACAACTATTTCTTGAGAGGGGTGAAGGAAGTCATATACATCAGGGCCCATCACCCTTCATTGAACCGCGACGGGGGCCGACATCGTCTACACGATACCTTTGACCTAGTGTTGACGTCACACTTCAAAGAAGCCACGTGACAAGCTTTACTGGGTATGTCTACTGAGGAAGACCAGAGTGACTGGTCGAAAGCTCTAGGTGAGAGAATTTTTGTGTTGGACCAAAAGTTTTAACTTTTAACATTTAACTACCACCACAGATGAACTTTCGTGATATCATTTTCCTCACTCTACCGAAAATGGGGAACCTGACTTCAGTTAGGGAGGTAAAGGGGGTTGAATGTGGATGGCTGTGTGTGACGGCTTTACACTGATCTTCTATGCTTAAAAGTAGAAACAAAAGTAGAAATTTGAACCTACCATTAACTTTGGTTGGGGACGTAACAGGCCGTGGAAGGTAGTCAGCTATGTGTGACAGGCTTTACACTGAGATTGTATGCTACAAAGCAGAAACAAAGCAGACAGATAAAAACAGATCATACCCACCTCCCAGTTTGGAACATGTTTTTTCCTGTGATCCACTTGTGGGTCCCGAAGAACAGAAGAGTGAAGGCAGAGGAGAAAGTCAGCCGGAACAGAGTATTGGCATAGGGGGCCTGCAAACGTAGAAACAGTTAGTAAGTATTTTAGACCTCAAATTATGTCACCAAATTCTACCCTAACTTTCACACATTTAGAGGTAAAAAGATCCTCTTAACATAACTAAAACCCCTTAACATTCAAAACACCACACAGTGTAGAAAAGGTTGGATCCTTCATCTGCCTCTGAACCCTGTTTATTGCATTGGAAAATTTTAGGCAATATATAAGGCCATTGGAGATCAAGATCACCAAATGTCTCACATTCTGCCTTTCAAATTTCGATTCGTACAATTCGTACCATGGCTGTACGGTGATCGTTCACACATTGCAGCTACGTAAGAGAAATGAACTGCGTGGCAATACTAACATAACTAAGTATCATAATCTTTACCATCCTCATCACTTCTTTCATTTGATTCAGGCCACCACTGATTTCCACTCTCTTCCATCCAGCGCTTATCTAGCATAAGTGGGATAAAATAAGCTACCCAAAAGTGCCGTTCGTAGACGTTTGGATCGGTGTCGTGCCATGTCCACCACAGGAGTTTGATCCCCACAATGTCGAACACGTGGTAGAACACGCAGTCCGCCAGCCCGGCCGCGTACGCTGTAGGGAAGATCCCGAGCTTCAGCCGACTGGCAGCAACCGTCGAGACGTAGTGGATCACCGGGTCTGGAATTATAAAATTAATAGACAGCGATTCTTTATTGACACAACAAAAAAAGTACACGGACTTTTGTATGTTCTTCTACAACTAAAGATCGAACAAAGCTAAATAATTGTGTGGATAACGTCATCTTACGTACAGAGTATATGTATGATGTAACAATAAAGGTTTAACTATTCTCTAACATGTGGTGTCTAAGATTGAAATATTCTTTAATGTATTTTCCTATTTGAACACTGTATTGGTTATCTCCCCTGAGAATGTAGTTGAATTTATCTACAGGATCTACGTATTGAAATCAATTGAACAAGCGGAAAGAAATTGAACAGCAATAGGCGCTTATCGTCACCGCCAAGCCGACCAAAGGTTTGGTACCCAGGCTAAAAGGTACTGGCTACAGGTATGCAGTGCTGTTACATGTATGTACTCACAGATGCACATGATGTAGAGAGGCAGCCTCCTGCCCAGCATCATGATGGAGGACTGGGCGTGCCAGAAGTTGTCGATCTCCGCGATCCAGTAGGCGATCATCTCGGAAACCAGGCCGTGGAACAGCGCCGCGAACCACATGTTCCGAGTTGACCAGGGTAGTGGACAGAGTTGACCGAGTTGACCAGGGTAGTGGACCGAGTTGACCGAGTTGATCGAGTTGACCGAGTTGACCGAGTTGACCGAGTTGATCGAGTTGACCGAGTTGACCGAGTTGACCGAGTTGACCAGGGTAGTTGACCGAGTTGATCGAGTTGACCGAGTTGACCGAGTTGACCGAGTTGACCGAGTTGACCAGGGTAGTTGACCGAGTTGACCGAGTTGACCGAGTTGACCGAGTTGACCGAGTTGACCGAGTTGACCGAGTTGACCGAGTTGACCAGGGTAGTTGACCGAGTTGACCGAGTTGACCGAGTTGATCGAGTTGATCGAGTTGAACGAGTTGACCGAGTTGACCGAGTTGACCGAGTTGACCAGGGTAGTTGACCGAGTTGACCGAGTTGATCGAGTTGATCGAGTTGATCGAGTTGATCGAGTTGATCGAGTTGACCAGGGTAGTGGACCGAGTTGACCGAGTTGATCGAGTTGACCAGGGTAGTTGACCGAGTTGACCGAGTTGATCGAGTTGATCGAGTTGACCGAGTTGACCGAGTTGACCGAGTTGACCGAGTTGACTGAGTTGACCGAGTTGATCGAGTTGATCGAGTTGACCGAGTTGACCGAGTTGACCGAGTTGACCAGGGTAGTGGACCGAGTTGACCGAGTTGATCGAGTTGACCGAGTTGACCAGGGTAGTTGACCGAGTTGATCGAGTTGACCGAGTTGACCAGGGTAGTTGACCGAGTTGACCGAGTTGACCAGGGTAGTTGACCGAGTTGATCGAGTTGACCGAGTTGACCAGGGTAGTGGACCGAGTTGACCGAGTTGACCGAGTTGACCAGGGTAGTTGACCGAGTTGACCGAGTTGACCGAGTTGATCGAGTTGACCAGAGTAGTGGACCGAGTTGACCGAGTTGACCGAGTTGACCGAGTTGACCGAGTTGATCGAGTTGACCAGGGTAGTGGACCGAGTTGACCGAGTTGACCGAGTTGACCGAGTTGACCAGGGTAGTGGACCGAGTTGACCGAGTTGACCAGGGTAGTGGACCGAGTTGACCGAGTTGATCGAGTTGACCAGGGTAGTTGACCGAGTTGACCGAGTTGATCGAGTTGACAGAGT